GTGAATAATGATGATAATGATATAACGGGTAATGATAATGCTATAGAAATTCACATCGATGATGATAAGGAAAATGTGAACAATAATGATAATAAAATAGTGGATAATAAAATTAAAAATATACCAGACAATAATAATATCGATATAGCGGATAATGATGATTATGTAGCAGTGAATAATAATGTTGATAATAATGCAATAGCGATTCCTATCAATAACGCAGAAAATAATGCAGATAATGAGTGAAAGGCAGATGATAGTAATAATATAGCCAATAATGAAAATGACCAGAAAATGTGGATAATGATGATAATTTAGTAGTGATTAATAAAGTTGATAATAATGCGATCGAAATTCAATAATACAGAAAATAATGCTGATAGCAATAATATGGTTAATAATGATGTTGAGCATACGGTGCCAAATGATAAAACTGAAATTAACAATGTATTTCATGTTTAAAATTTGATGCACTGAATTTTTCAATTTATTTCATAGATCAATATTTTATTAGTATTTGAAATAGATATTATAATATTATTTTATTTTATATATTTACATTTTACATTAAATTGTTTATTTATACTATGTTCAGAGGAATATATCTCTTTCTTTTAGATGCTCAAGATTATATTTTATGTATATCGTTGGCAAAAACATCAGATGTTGCTCTTGTTATTTTGTATCTAGTATATCACACAGAGTTAGGTTAATATTTTTATTAGTTATAGCTATATATTTTTAGTAAATTATCACCTTTTATGACGCCTGTTAAATGGCATGTTGGAAAGATTATACGTAAACGAATTTATCACATTACTTATAAAAATCAAATTTCTTCTTATAATTGACACCAATGGGATCATACATTTTTTTTTGAAAAACTACTGATAACTCGAAATTTTTGTCTATGAAACTATTTTCTGCGCACTAACGGAAAATAAATTTCTGTAAAATTTTGGCATAATTTAAGCACCCATTTAGTCATAACCCTAACCCTAACGTGATTTTATTGATTTAAAAATATTGTGCATATTCAACTGTTTTGATAAAATTATTATTCTCGCTTGGATTTCACATTAAAAACTTCCTTTATATTAGAATCATGAAGATAAATTATGAATCATACTGTGCTTAGTAATAACTATTTTTTCACGTGAATATATACTCATGTGACGAAGCATAAGCAAGGATCGAAAGTATGGGTCCACGCTATGGTGCGGCGCATTCAATTCATTTCACATGATAATATCAACTTTTAAAAGGTGGCAAGTTCGAGCCCACGCTATGATGCGGCGCATTCATGACAACATCAACTTTTATAAGGCGAGCCCACACTATGGTGCGGCGCATTCAACCTCTACACGTAACAATGAGCAAGGTGATAGGTGCAACGAATGAGGGCAATGGGCAGGCTAACACGGAGTCAGATTGTATCGGGCATCGAAGAGAACAAATGATAAGACAGGCCAAGACATCTCAATATATGCTAATCTAAACTTGATAAAATTTTATTTATTTATTTATTTATTTGTTTGTTTATAATTTTATTTATTTATTTATTTTATTTGAATTCTAAAAGTTTATAGAATTCAAATAAAAAATTTTTATCAAATTGAACAAATAGTTATCGAAATACCTTTCGCTTAAAATTAAAAAATTTTGCAGAGTTATTTAGATGCTGAGTTTTTTAAAATTTTGAAAAAGATTTTCTAACAACTACTTAATTAAACTCAATAGAATTTAATTAAATATTAATTGATTGCTAACTTTCACTTAGTGCTTTTGGTTATGGTCAATTAAACTGTTAAAATGGGCATTTTTATCATAACGGTTCATCTGGGAAATTGATGCATATTGATAGATATGTTTGGTCCTTCATATATTTCTTAAATGATATGAATTTATTTTATAAAGTTTGCAAAAAAAATAAATAAATAAAAAATTAAAAAATCAATATTATAACTAAATTATATTTGGTATATTATATTTAAAGTTTGAATCTGTATTCTATCTGAATAATATATTTTTCTGACTATCATTACGTTACAAAAAAATTGATATGTTATGATTAATACTGTGAATTATGAACTAATAATATTTATTTGTCCTTGCACGCATGTCAAGTTCGTGTTATCAGGATTATTCACTGAAAAAAGTTGATTGTTTTTTTTAAAAAAATTTTAACTCATTATTATTTACCCATACATCAATTTAGAAAATGTACTTTACCTTCTGCTCTGATAATAGCGCCATTTAAAAAGCTATAAATACCAGGTAAATATGTGGAATTAGGAGGATGAGTAATTGTAGCGTTTACACTAAAATTTCCGCTGATAGGGCATGGACCATTGGAGTTATTTAGCATTTGGCAAAAGTCTACTTTATCACGATAACCCGTAAGTGGCAGTATACCATCTATAAGAGGATAATAATGGAGTACTGCACCCTGAACTATTGGTACCGTTGTTTTTCCGATACCAATAACCACAAAAGAAAAGCTTCCATTCTGATTAACAACGATTGGATTTGTGACTAATAAACTTGTGAACGTCATCGGATATGTCACTGATCCCGGGCATTGCGATAATGTAGTGTAGTTTTGAGAATATGCACATAAAGCGTGACAATAAATGTAAAGACAGATAAACAGGTAAGTTAATCTCTTAGACATATTAAGGACCTAAAATCTCGAATCTAGCTGCATTTAATTTATAAAAAGTGCTATACTTATATTTGTAGTTCTTGCGAAGAAACTCCGTGTTGTCACTAATAACTCCGATATCTTACCAAATATAAAACTTAAAAGGAACTAGTTCAAGCCATTCTATATTTAAAATTCCTTAATAAATTTTACGTTTCACAAGATTCTAGTGTTCATTATATATTTATTTTTTTATTTATTTCCATTTTACTTGCATGAATTAGGAAAGGAAAATCTACGTATATCAATCGATTATCATGCTGCCAATCATTTATATTAATTTTAAATATTATTACTTGGCATTACAATAATGTGCCTTTATAGAATATAGAATAGTGTTACAGGCAAATCCGAAATACGTATTTCTCCTGGGCACAATTATTTTACACTGATGAGGTTTCAAAAAAGAAGCAGATTGAACAGAAATATTTCGCTCCGGCGAAATTATTCTTAATGTCGAGATATTTCGGATTTAGAAATTTATTAGACTGAAATACTAATATAGAATAAAATTCTAAAATATAATTATAATACTCATATCGGCCAATTTGAGGGATTAGCTAATAACTTTTGTCAAACTATCTGTTTTTGACAATTTTATTACCAAATGATTGTCTCGGTGAGACGATTCCAATGAGCCAAATAATCAAACTCTAACCACTAGTAGTTAAAATTTCTGTTATTTTACTGGTGACTTTTAGAGTCACAATAAATATACATTTATGTTGAATAGCTCTTAATCCATCGAACCGTTTGGAATACCAGAATGTTCGACTCGATGAAACGATTCTATCGAGGGCAAAAATTGTTAAAATCAAATCATAGGATTCCGAGATCGTTAAAGATCAGTGTTTATTTTAAGGTGTGTGAAGATTGAATTTTTATATTAAAATCCAATATCATCACAAACCTCGAAATAACACTGATCTTTTACGATCTCAGATCCTATGTTTGGATTTTAATGATTTTGAGCTCTTTAGAATCTCCTCCGAGACAACATACTAGTAGAAAATAATTCCAAATGGTTCGGTGGATTAAAAGCTATTCAAGATGAATGTATTTTTATAGAGACCCAAAAATTAACAGAAAATTTTAACTATCTCGGGATCTAGTGATTAGATTTTGATTATTTAAGGCTTTTCAGAATCGTCTCACTGAGTCGGTCATCTTGGTAGTAAAATCATCAAAAATAAATTAGTATATCAAAAGTTATTAGTAACTTCCTCAAATTGGCCGATATGTTATTATGTATAAACACCCTATAAAAAAAAAGTTAAACATGCAAATTTAATTTCGGAATGGTAGGTAAAAATTTTGAAAAAGTGTATTTATTCACAAAATTTATTAAAATAAAATAAACTTGATTTGCTATCTAATAATAAAAAGTTTATATTTTTTTAAAAAAAAAATTCGAACCTCCAAACTCTATTAAAAGCTATTGTGTTTTTTTTGGTTTGGGGTATTATAGCTACTATGCATATCGATATTCATGTTCTACTAAGATATCCTTTTTTATATTTGTACTTTCCCGATCTCTTCCCTGCAATTGCCTAAAGAGGAAAAAGAGAAATTAGCGTAACAACTACCCAACATTTCTCAAGTTTTGATCAGAATTAAATTATTTTGCATCATTCGATTCGTTTAAGATGATTGAATGGCTATCTGACAACCATATTTTTCTAATCATTGTTACAATTACAAAGAATTGATGGTTTAAGGTGAACTATTTGTCCTTGTACACATGCTTACTTTGTGTCATCAGAATTGTTTACTAAACGTAGTTGGTTATTAAAGAATAAAGCTTAATGTGACCATATATCCAATTTAGAAGTATACCTTACCATCTATCCTAATAATAAAAGAGCTGTAAGGAGCTGGCAAATATGGGTAAATTGGGAGAGGTTTAGTAATTGTAAAGTTGACGTTAACGTTTCCGCTAATAGGGCATGGACCAATCGAGTTATTAAGAATTTGGAAAAGTCTACTTTATCACGATAACCATCAAATGGCACTATACCCTCAATATAAGGATAGTAGTAAAGCACCGCACCTTGAGTTATAGGTACGGTTGTTGTTCCATTTCCACTAACCACAAAGAAAAAACTTCGGTTTTGATTAACAACGATCGGATTTGTGATTATTAAACGTGTAAATGTCATCGGATATACTACTGATACCGGGCATGGCATTAATGTAGTAAATTTTGAGAATATACATATAAAGCATGAAAATAAATGTAAAAATAGATAAATAGGTAAGATGATTGCTTAAACATATTTAAAACCTAAAGTTGCTAAAGTTGTGTAATATTCATAGTTGTATTGAATTTATAAAAAACGCCACATTCGCTGAGAACCTCAGCATTATCTCTAATATCTCCGATATTTTTCCAAATAAATTCAATGATAAAAAAAATCATGTCGCTTAAAAGGATTAGCTTATATCATTCTGTATTTAAAATTCCATAACGAATATTTACGTTTCACAAAATTAATCGTTTAGAACAACCTGTGTGACGTGATGTGTCTTCCTTATTTTGATTCATCCATTTTATTTATTTACATTTTTTATATACCATTTGTTTATGTGTATTACGAGGAAGGAAAATCTACATACATCGACTATGTACAGTACATCAATTGATTGTTCACTGGTTACAAATAATCAGTCGGAAGAAGTACCCGGGTCGGGTCTGTTACATTTCGCCAATTTTAAAACCTATAATTAATCAAACGGGTCCTTTGTATAGGTGGATCTGATATTGGAAGGTTTATCCTATTTTCATATTCAAATTTGTATACCCCGAGTCTTTTACATTTTATAGTAGATAGTGGGTCTACTACTAGGTATCCGGTCATTTACGTTATAAGGAAAATAAATTATCTGAAAAGATGAATACTGCATGAAATACTTCACAATAGCTGTTTTATTTGCGAAAAATTATTTTAGGGGATTGACTTGGTAGCAAGTTGGAATTACTTAATGATTGAGTACTAATATCAATATCGAAAATTAAAATTTATATGTCGAATTCAAAAGGGATGTTTTGTGTTCAGCTAAGAATTTATTTTTTGATGTGAGATTATTGAATTCGAAGTTCTTAATAATTTGAATTCTTAAGATGTCAATGTTATAAGCTTTAACGTTTAGATAGGTTTTTAAATTTTCGTGAATTCTCATTGTTTACGCTTTAGATTATAAAATTCATGTATTCGAATCTCATTCACATGTCTGTATGACGCTAAACTACTGTAGATTTCCTTAAAATATATAGCGATAAGATTAATAAGTTAGGTAAATAAATAATAATAATAAAGATTGGTGATTAATAAACAATAAAAAGGAGAAAAGGTAATGTATTACGTGTGGCAGGACGCCATCACTTACATTTGATTACGTCAAATGCACATACTCGTTAAGGAATTTTGAAAAGACCTGGTTTTAAAATGATCCCTTTTAGGCGAAATAAATTTAATTTTGGTAAAAAAATTTTGGAAGTTTTTTACAAATCGGAGTTTATATCAGATATACGGAGTTTTATTAGTGGGAAATCTAGGCATATGTTTAATGCAACGAATGCGGCCACATTATACAATACTGTTTTTTTTTGAAATGTCTAAATATCATCCACCTCAAGTGTATATCTCAAAACTATACCAATTTAACACAATGTCCCGGATCAGACGTGTCCGATGACATTTACAAGCTTAATGGTCACAAGTTCGATCGTTGTTCATGAGAAAAAAGCATTTCTTATTACTCCTTTGAACAGTACCTGTAGTTCAGGATTCAGTCTCCATTACTATACTTTATTAATACCATTTCATATTGTCTAATTTGGATTGCGGAGTCTGCGGGCCGCAATAAAATTTTAAATTTCTGCAACCAAAATTTGAAGTGCATATGAACGGATTCCACATGAGTGCTGCCAAGGGAAAACCCATATTCGAGCTTTCAATTACATTTGTGTCTAAAATTTTAATCGAAGTTATCTCGACAACTACTGCACAAAATTCGATGAAAAATTTTTTATTCGAATTCTACATACCTATATAATTCGAACAAAAATTTTCATCGATTTTGATGTCGAACAAAGTTTTAGACATTGAAAGCCCGAATATGGGTTTTCCCTAGTGTTGGCGGTAGAATTACTGAATTACGGCATTACGGCATTCTACCACATGGTAGAATTAATTACGGCATGGAGT